TTTTTTAGTAATGTTTTAATGTAGTTTTAATTTACTGTAGCGTATTTTTATGGTGAACGAACGGACAGGACATCAGCTTAGTTACTTTCTCTTTATTTTCTCTTTACTTTAATACATTTTTTGTCTAATTTTTTAAAATCCAATTAATTAGGGGGGGGGGCAAGTGCCCCCGCCCCCCCCCCGCGGGCGCTCATGCCCCTTTGATTTATGTTATGTAACGCTAAGCTAAGTTTAGGGGCTATCCATATCGTTTAGTTTATATTTAAATTTATAATAGTACTAGTACTAGTAGGCCCTATACTAGTACGTAAGGAAAAATAAAGGTCAAAATTTGGCCCCCCTCATCTCTTTTCAGAGATGTTTCTTTCAACAAACAAAAAAAGAAAGAAAAAAAAGGGGGGGGGGGGTTGGTTTGGATCTTGACCGGCTTGTTGGGCTGTTTATTGCGGTGTCACATAGTCATAATAGTAGTAGTTCATATCAAGTGAAATAAGCATTGCCAGATAATATTATGATTGATGTTTTAAATTGTTAATTTTAAATGAAAGAACAGTTCTTTCTTTTTCTTCTATATTTTCTGCTACCTTTTGATTTTCTGCAGCCCCAGATAGGCCAACTGATACCTGGAGAAAAACAAAAACTTGCAAATTCAGTGTGTGTGAGTGGGGGAAGTGCCCTTCCCTTATGACGTCCCTGCTCTTATCCCCGTTGCACGCATATTTTTTCTAGACATCCCCTCTAGCTTACTCTAACTAAGCGTAGTAAGATGAGCATTCAACGCCCCCCCCCCACCCAAAAAAAAAAAAAATAAATAAAATAAAAAATAAATAAATTTATTATTTACTAGATATAGTCCGCCAAACATTGGCGACAGCAATGCGTGAACTTCCCATCTACTAAAGTTATTTGACAAAAACGTGAACTCAAGTTACGCACATTTAAGAATGCCAATTTTGCTATACCCCTCCCCCTTGTCATGATACGTCAATGCACACTTTTTATTTCACGCCCATGAACTTTATAAATATAGCCGACCCACGGCTTAGCATACGCCGCGAGCTTGTTGGGGTGTGCGCATGGCTGGCATGCGAGGGTGGTGCAGGAGGGGGGGGCGGTAGCTCCACCACAATGCGCATGTCCATGGGCGCCCGCAGGGGAGGGGCAAGGGGGCACTTGCCCCCCCTGGTTGGATAAACATTTTTTAGATAAAAATAGACAAAAAAATGTATTAAAGTAAAGAGAAGATAAAGTAACTAAGCTGATGTCCTGTCCGTTAGTTCACCATACAAATACTCTACAGTAAATTAAAACTACATTAAAACATTACTAAAAATTTTTTGCCCCCCCCCCCATCCCCACCTACAGCTGTGCATTCATTGTGTCCCCCCACCTACAGCTGTGCATTCATTGTGTCCCCCCCCCTACAGCTGTGCATTCATTGTGTCCCCCCACCTACAGCTGTGCATTCATTGTGTCCCCCCACCTACAGCTGTGCATTCATTGTGTCCCCCGCCAAAGCTGCGCCGCTATTTTCTTCATTTAGTGAGACATATTGGGGATATATTTAAAAAAAAATAAAAATAGTATAGTCTTTTACTATACATCATTAAATAGTAATTTTCTTGTACAAGTTTACCTTATTTTAAAAATATTTTATTTCATGCCAAGCTACATCAACAACTATTTGACAGTTTCATAGAGTTCATCAGTTTCATTTCATGGAGTGTGTGTGTGTGTACCTGGGGGGGGGGGTGGGAGGGAAAAAAAATGAATAAATGTATGTACTTTCTGCCAACGTTTAGTAGTTACGGCCAAGGTTAGCATTTATGCTGCAAACTTATGACCTAGAGCAGTAGTCGCAAAATCGCGGCAGCGAACCACATGCGGCTTTTTTTTTAGCGATCTGAGTTCGGCTCGACCACAACTCGGTTTTTACTCCGAAAAACAAGGCTCTTGAAGAAAAGAAATTTTGCCCTCAAAATTTTTTAAATCGTACTGCTGCTGATTTGGGTCTCTTTCGACTAATGTTTGCCGACCCTTGATCTCGAGTAATTCCCCCTTTGCTTGGGCACCCGCAGAAAACGTTCTAGGGGGGGGGGGGGGGAGGGAAAAAAAAATCAATAAATTTTCA